TCCCCTGTAGGGCTGGCCTGCAGCAGGCAGACAAAGGACAAAGCAGCAAAGCATGTTTGCTCTACTCCCAGTCGGTTGGCATGGTGATCGTGACCCAGAGCTTCGTTCAGGGCCCTTCAGATAGCTCCACCCTCTCCTTCCAGATGCTCCACGTGAACAATGTCGACCCTCAAGGTTGAGTGCACTCGACTCCTCACATGGGAGGACAAACAAAACACACATCCTCACGGTAAGAATGTCGAGGAGGGTAGATAAGGTTAAGAGCAACGTACTTCAAAATAGTTGCCCCCAATCACAGATGTTCTCACCGGATGACCTGATGCGGATTGTGATGACCAATTGCTGCTTCGGCACAACCAGCATAATGGTGTTCCACCTCATAATAAATCGCACATCAAACAGTTCTCATCACACTGTGAAACGCCCATAATCACCTTGTAGCCGTGCTGGCGATACCCCTCTTTGCCTGGATCGCTTGCTTGACTTCGCCCTCCTCACTACACACTTCCTATGGTCGCTCACCCGGCAGACCGCATGCATGCACCCCATAGGCAGAAGACAAGCGCCAGATTAGCGCAACATAGCTCTGATACCAAATTGCACGGAGAAGCGAGCGGTCTGGAGTTGGGGCAAGCGGCGCGGCGCTGCCGGGAGCGCCACGCCGCGCCACCCCGCTATTCGGAGTGTCGCGAGGCAAGATGAGAATTTTTGGTGGGAAACTGTCGTCGCACTTAGTGGACGGTTGTCGGCTATGGCGGCAGGTGGGTGAGGTGGTAGCAGCACCACCGCGCAGCGCGATAGGAAGATTTTGCCAGAAGATGTTTTGCACTACGCCGAGCGGTGGTTGTCGGCTATGGCAGCAGGTGGGTGCGGGGTAGCAACACTGTTTGCTGGGTGAGTGTTGGTTTTAAAGCGGTTGCGGGGATGGTCGAGTAATGCTTTCTGTTGACTGGCCACATGGGGAGGTGGGTTATGCTGGCTGGTGATACTTCCCTTTCGACGACTGTGGAGAGGAAGGTTGTACAAGAAGGAGCGTCAAGTTGAAAGGAGGTTGTACATCAAGGTAGTGCTGGTCAGAAGAGCTAGGGTTATATGGTTTCCCCTTCTTCCTCAACAACATGGTAAGTAGTTTCATATGGAGGCTTGAACCCCCTGTGGTGGCTCACCAACGGGTTTGGTGAGGAAGCGCCGCACTATCTTTGATTCCTCTTGGGGGATTGAAGACGGTCATCGATGTTTTCAGTGTAAGCATCGCGTAGAGCTTAGTAGCTAGCAGTGGGACGAAGGGTGTCTCTCATCCCCCGAAGATGCTGGGATTGTGTTCAAGGGGGATGGGTAAGGTAGAAGTTATTGAGGAAGAAGGGGCGGCGATTAATTGTCGATTGATGACTTTTATGGTTAGGATCTTGCCCATGTGCGGTTCGGTGTTCTTTTAATTAGACAGTTCTCAAGACCTGACGTTGTACTGATCTCCCCTAAATATAACTCTCGGTTCAACTCTGTGGTTGAAATTTCTGATCTCGACTTTGTGATTGATTTCTCGTGAGAAAGCCTCTCAGTTTGTTTTTGAGTTTTGAGTGCTAATGATTCTTGTTGAAACGTGATTTTCTGACTTCCTTGCTTAATGAGTGTTCTGAAGTTTTCAATTCTGTGGTTGAAATTTCTTATATTGATTTTGTAATTTTTCTCTCAAGAAAGATTCTCATTTCGTTTCTGAGATCTTGGTGCTAATAATACTTGTTAATACGTCTTCTGTTGTTACCTTTCTGATCGGACATTTTTAGTCGCGAAACTTCATACTATCTATCTAATTTTGGATTCCGAAAGACTGTGAATCTTAATTTCTGATTGTCTGATCCTTTTAAAACATACTTCCGCAGTTAATTGCTGTTTCAAAATTTACGTCTGTAAAGCTCAATTCATTACTTTTGATTATCGTCGCAGTAAATTTGAAAAAATGATACGGATCTAATTTTCGATGAAAAGATCTACGATTGTGGTGTGTTTTTTCTGATTGCCTAGGGGGAAACTAGAATGGGTGGATGGAAAGAATGAAAGGGGATTTTCAACAGACGGAAGATGTCGGTTAAGGTGAGTATGTCAGGAGGACGAGGCTGGGACGACATAGACCGGTGCTGGAGCTATGCTCTGTGACCCAGGGGGAGCTTGAGGTCCATGGAGTTATGCCGAGGGTGGAAGGCATAACCCGATCGTCCAACGTAGTGGGCACTGGGGCGTGGACCCTGTAACCTGTTTAGGGGTTTGCCGCTAAAGGAATTGTCGAGGGAGGAACGCACTTCCTGTCCGTCAGAACTAGGTTGGTCGGTACTAGGGTGGGTTGTGGTGCCCTGTTACCCTAGCAGAGGGGGGTATGAGACCAGGTGACTTCTGGTACGAGGACTGAAAGCCAGAACTGGCGGTCCGCTTGTTGAGAGGGGATTTTAGGATAGTTGGTATTAATCTATAGTTTCACCCTCCTTTTTTCTGGATTGTACCCTGTTTGGCCGTTACGGGGGACTTGAGAACTTTTAAGAATCTGGGGCTTCTATCAAATTTTCCCTGGGTGCCTTGAAGTTGCTATACTCAGCGATCTGCGGCTGTTCGATGCCAGAACGATGCTTGCCGGTGCTGGGTTGTTGCCCTGTAACCTGTTGACGCAGGAGCGTGAGGCCTGGTCTCACGGGACAACCAAGGTTTGCTGCTGGGACGATGATGGCCGGAGCTGGGGCGAGTTGTGTTGCCCTGTCACCCAGCAGGAAGTGGGGGTGTGAGGCCTGGAGAGCTCGGCAGGGAGTAAAGCAACTTGAGGAACTCTGGAAAGGTTTGGTAAGGAGCTCGAGATTTTTGGATTTTCCTTCAGGACCCCGGCGGTCTATCCTAAAAACGAAACGAGGTGAGTGGGAGAAGAAGGCGGTGGGATATCATGCGTCCTACTAGTGACGGGGCTAGCTGGTAGGATTGGAATAGGGTATAGCAACAGTAGAGATGGTGGCTCTGCTGCAGTAAGTCTTCCCGGAGTGAGGAACAGAGGATTGAGGGGGCGGGGGGGTTTGGAGCTGGATTTTGAGTACTGTTGATTCTTGAAGTCTGTTGTCGTCATTTCCTAAAGTAGCTCCAACTTTTTGAGCTAAACCAGAACGAGGGGGAGTGGGGAGGGAGATGGTGGGATATCATGCGTCCTACTACGGAGGGGGCTAGCTGGTAGGATGGGAATAGGGCATAGCAGCAGCGGAGATGGTGGCTCTGCTGCAGTAAGTCTTGCCGGAGTAAGGTAAAGTGGATGGATGGGGAGGTTTTCTGAGCAGTTTCTGAATTCCGTTTCTATTCTGAAGTTTGTCGTAGTCATTTTCTAAGTAGCTCCGTTTTTTTCTGAGCCAAGCTGGGTAATGGCCCCGGTATCTCAATCTTCAAAATCATATGTAAATTTTCATATGGGACGCTGGGCCCGGTTCCCAGCACTTGCTGCTCCCCACGAATAGATTGGAGCCTTGTTCCCAAAAAAAAAAAAAAAGAAAAAAAAAAAGAAGAGCGATAGCGAATTCCAGAGACCAAGCAGCATCATACACATGAAACCAGATAGTCGTGACCTCGCACCAAAAGCAGAATTGCAACTCGAGTTCCACTGAATAAGAGGACAGCAAAAGCTCACAAGTGACAATGTTGGAATAGTCTCATCATCATCAACAAAGAACCAATGTCGATTTCCTATCTAGTGCTCTGCGCCAAGACTACAAATGGCAGATCCTATCTAGCCTATCTGCAATGCCGCTGGTGATGTCAACGGCTCCCCGAAGTACGAGAAGATCTCGGCCAATGCCATTCGCCTCAAGCACCAGGTATGTCTCTCGCATCACTCACAACCTCTATATCCCACACGGGACAACCATACGCCCCATCCAGCACCTCGCAGGCCAGCTCGGCTATGGCTGCCTGCGTATCCCTTGCTCACTTGTGAGCGCATGGGCGCTTGCCTGCCAGTAGTGCAGCAGCGCTTGCACAGCAACCAGGAAGTGCCCGAACGCCAAATGGGGGGGCGGGCACTTTCCTATATGGAAGTGGCCTGCCTGCTGCGTGCAGCCTGGCTGCGCTGGGCCCCTGCCCAGAAGCTTCCGGTAGGCCCCAAGTGGCTGAGCCCCGGTCCAGGGAATCAGACCCAGGTCCTAGGGCCCTTACCCATGTTCAACTGCAGGCAGCCTGTGTTCGGCCCATGTTGTGTCTCTGGCCCAGGGCCTGCCTCAGATACATCTGAAAAAGGCACCTAGGGCCTGGGGCACTTCAACCAACTGGAGCTGCGCAACTGCCTGAATTTTTCCCAGTTGCGTGGTAGTCCAAAATAGGCCTCTCGTCCTTGGTCCGGCTTGCCTTCACTTAGGGCGGCCTACATTACTGGAAACAGGGCCCAGTAGAGCTCTTCGAGGCCTTGTGCCTCGCAAATGCCCTTTTGCTTGAATTATTGTTTGAACTATACACCTGTCAGGGGCAGAATGCAAACTTGCACCTCCACCTGACAGGGGTAGATCGCAGGATATTAAATCCAAAAGGGCATTTCACAAGCTTCGGAAAAAAAATCCTTTGAAATTTCACAGGGGTGTTGCCATCTTCACACATCTTTTTGGGGGCATTTCAGCATATACGAGAGCTTTCAGGGGTACAAATTTTCCTTAAAAGAAAATACAGGTACGGAATTCAAATTCCATTTACTCTTCGTGCTGAGCGTGCAGGCACAAGCGAGTACAAAGGCTAAGTGTGTCTGTTCGTTAAAAAAGCGTTGAGAGACAGTAGCCCCATCAGATCGAGAACCAGCGAGCGGAAACACAAAGAGGGCTCATGCCAATTGGTGGGAAGGGCAAAGCATACACTCCAAGGGAACCAACAACTCGTGCTACGCACAGAGGGAGGGAACCAACAACTCGAGCAAAGCATACACTCCAAGCGAACCAACAACTCGTGATGCGCGAACACGTTGATACAGGAGACAATGGTCAAATTTCAAGAAATTTAACATATGCAGGAATTCATTGGAAAAGCCGATTCTTCTTTACGAGAAGAGATCATATTCACGCTAATATCGCACTTCGTGCCTTCGCGGTCGAGATACTCCTGTGGGTGTCGACTCGCACTCTGAAAATGTGCGTCAAACACGAACACATAGAGCAAGCGAACGAGCAAGCCAGCTAGAGAACAAAAGTGAAAAAACAGAGAAAACGAGAGAGAGAGAGAGAGAGAGAGAGAGAGAGAGAGAGAGAGAGAGAGAGAGAGAGAGAGAGAGCATTGCTGTTTGCTACGCCCGTCTACTTCATCTTTACCCAACAGTTTTCGCACTGGGCTTGGGGTCTCCCCTACCGGAAGTCCTAGATGCCAGCGTATTCTTTTCCATGTTTAGACACTCGTGAAACGGTATTCACCAATTCGTGGTAGCTGAGGTAGATCCCAGGGCTCGATCCCTAGTTTCCCAACTTACTTGTGTACAATACCAGCGTCAACTCGAAGAGTTGAACCTGCGACCTGTAGAACCGCCAGTGGTAGGTAGGTCTGTCGTAGGTCTATAGGTAGCCAGGATTCGATCCGTAGACCTATAGACTAGAAGGCTAGCTGCAGTCTTTCTAGAAGGTTGGCAAGTGGTCAAGTGGTGCAGGCAAGTGGTCAAGTGGTGCAGGCAAGTGGTCAAGTGGTGCAGGCAAGTGGGCAAGTGGTGTGACTAAAGCCTGTCTCTTATACACATCTAGATGTGTATAAGAGACAGGTGTGATACTGAGTGTTGCGTGTGGGACATCCAGGGTGATCCAGAGTGCGAACAGTGAGTTGTGTGGGCGCTCAGTCGCCATAGCCAGTTTGAAGAGAACTCTTATGTGGATACGATATCTTGAGTACTGAGTGGGGATTTGGGCGCTCAGTCGCCATAGCCAGTTTGAAGAGAACTCTTATGTGGATACGATATCTTGAGTACTGAGTGGGCGCCTGTCGCCAATTTGCTGTTTCCCTGTTTGCATACATAATAAGTTGAATAATCGTAGTGTGATTTCACTCGCTTGCCTGCCAGACATTAAGTACGTACTATATATAATTATAATGATCGTGAGTGACCAGTTCCACAACTGGCTAGGCTTCCTATTGAGCTCGATCAGCAAAGTGCTGTTGTACACACGTCCAATCCCCTGTGTCGGTGATGTCGCCAGTTCTTAGCTGACCACGCTCGTTGACGCGCCCCGGACAATACAGCTGCGGACCGATACATTAATCCACTAATCTCCAAGCTGAGCCCCTCCCGGTCACTCATTCTGCTTCTCTCAAGTAGGTTGCTGATGTCGAACGACCGCCCGCCCTGTTGCTGACGCCTGGTTAAATCAGCATAGGCCCTGCTCACATTACGACTTTCTGAACTGCATCTGGCTGCACTTGCCGCCAGCTGCGCCAGAAATGCTTGAGTACGAGTATGCCCTTAGCACTGCGTCCAGCGCAGGCGAAAATCCTGTTGGTCGATGGTGATCAAGCCAACCTTGTTATTCATCGGCGGGGCTGGAGATACTACTGTTGCCACGGAATTGATATTGAGCGTCACCGACTCACTGCCACACGGTGGATAGACAAAGGTTAAGAAGCCTTCAGTGAACTCAAAGTTGCCGTCCAGGGGAGGACCCACCTCTCGCAAGGTTGTGACTGTCCCTGGGATATCTGAGAAGAAGTACCCGGTTTCCACAGAACCCTTGACGCCTTCCTCGAACTCGGCGTACCCGGTGAATGTCACAGTCTCCAGAGTATACACGAACCCAGCAGGATAGATCATGTTGACGCCCACTCGGCAGTTTCTCTTCCGGTCAGCTGGACGTCCTGGGCTGAACGCCGTGAAGTTTCCGAATTTTACAGTGAACGCCGTTCCGTCATCAGAGAATAGGACCTCAGCACTTCCAGGCAGACAGCCAAAGCCAGCATAGGTCACGCTCTGGATCTGTACAGAACCAGATGGTGGACTTTGAGCCAGTCCAGGAACGGCAAGCTGGAGAAGCCCCAGCAACAGCAGGACCACCATCGCCGCCATCATCGACAAGGATTGGGAAACCCTGCGGCTGATCCTCTTCGTCTTCGCCTTTCGTCTCACCTTGCTCCTGTCTCCGCGCGCCCAGCAACAGATGAGCTGTTCCGGCGACGGCAGCAGATAACACCCCCCCACTTCGCCGCTCCGGGAGCTGTTCGCCTGGAGTCGCACCCTCCCTCTCCTCGGCGGAAATGCCGTGGAAAAAGAGATAGTGCACGCCACATCTCGCCGCTCCCGCCTGCGATCCCCAAAGACCACCACGATCACTAAGCAGATCGAAGCGCGCTGTACCTAGAGTGCCCGTTAATGCGCCTTTATACACAGCCGGAGCTGAAGTTTGCCTGTGTCCCCTCAGTACAGCGCATCAACATCACAAAAAAGCATGCAACTGCTGTGAACTTGGTGTGGTCGATTCGAGGAGGAAACCAGTTTACAGGCGTACCCTCTGGCGGTGTGGAGACGACATCACGATCAAACCAATTTAGCGGAAGATAAACTGCAAAGCCGGCCCAATTCCACGAGTCGGGTGTCGGGGAGGAAAAAAAAAAAAAAAAAAAAAAAAAAAAAAAAAAAGGAGGAAAAGGAGGATGGTTGCGCCTCGCTCCACTACTCTCGACATGCACAAAAGACAAAAATCAAGGCAGTGTATCTTTCGAAGATGTAGCGGTCTCGTGTTTTGCACATTTCGAGAGTAGTCGAAGCGAGGCCGTTTGGAATGCCTCTTCTGCTCCTCATTCCTGTCGGACCCCATCTTATCGTTTTTCAATTCACTTGCAGATCATGCACTTGCCCTTTGTCTGGCAGGAGGGAGCCTACTCCTTCGCGGCAGGGAACATACTCCTCCTAAAACAGACAAGCACGACAGAAGATCCCATCTTATCGTTTTTCCATCCACGTGCAGATCATGCACCTACCCTTCGTGATTGCAGCACGGAACCTACTCCTTCGCGGCAGAGAACATACTCGTCCTAAAAGCGACAAGCACGTGAGAAGTTGTTTTTTTTGGCGGGGTGGGGGTAACGAGGGCGCAGTCACGAAAGCAGTTTGTAAATGCACTTCGAACTGCCTTTTTCCCTTTTTTTTTTTTTAAAGGGCGACGGCCTTGAGATATTATCATTCAGCTGACCGGCCCCAAGCAATTCGTTAGTAGTTGGTTTTACTCGTCAAGTTCCATCATCTTGATTCGAGCACAGGTCTGTATTTTTACAGTTCATGGGTGTCCCCACTGAGCTAGGCTCTTGGGTTCGAACTGCCTTTTTAGAGTCCAGTACGGTCGCGAGTTTCAAATCCAGTCGAAACTCTTGACATGCAGAACAGTCGCAAGGCCGAGTTCGCAACTGCAGTCCAGTCCGGCCTCTTTTTTTTTTTTTTTTTCTTTTTTTTTTTCGTCTCGGACGTTGCCGAGGCATCACGGTCATGGCCTACGCGACAGGGCCAAGACTAAAAAAAAAAAAAAAAAGTCAGAGGGCCTTGGTCCACTATTCTTGACATTCACAAAAAAAATCATGGCGGTGCATCTTTCCATGTTCTAGGAGAAGATTCACTCTCGTTTTGCACATTGAGGCATTGCGGCCGTGGCCCAGCCACGCGACGAGATGCTCCCTTTTTCTTTTTTTTTCTTTTTTTTTTTTCATCTCGGATGCTGCCGAGGCATCGCGGGGTCCATGTCCCATATGCACCGTTTAGTGGACCTAGTTCAACGGTGCGACGGCTGAAACTGTTTTTTTTACTCATTTAAAATTAAAAAATGCAGGGTTTTTTTTTTTTCATTTTTTTTTTTAATTGAATTTGTTTGTTTGCAGAAAAAACAGGTATCCCGGGCCGGGGACCCCACAATTCAACCCGGACTGACCACCTCTGGCAGCATTAGCCAGTTTCTCTTTTTACGGCACCAATGGGAACCGAAAGATAACAATTGATGAGTACCTTGAAAGCAGAATTAGCCTATTATACATCTACTTCAGCAAAAGACTAGGCAAAGAGCGGACTAACAGAGTGAACAAAGCTCAGAATCTGGAACTGGAGGTTGGGGTTGGAGCTGTGATAGGGAAGGTGGAAATAGTTAAACCACCAGTACTTGGGCACAGCGCGCCGCCGGCCGCCCAAATCTCAAAGCAGGGAGGGCTGTCTATTCTATCTATCAACGGCCCGCCGGCCGCGGAAATCGCGTAGCTTTCACGCTAAGGCGTCGCCCAAGTACTGGTAGTTTAAGAGAACAAGAAGAAGAGATAGATGAAGGGGGTGAGAGCGTGACATAGGTGGGGAATGCTGAAAAAGAAAGGAAGAAGAAAAGGAAGAAGGAGGAAGGAAGAAAGAAGAAAAGGAAGGAGGTACAGGGAGAGGACTAAGATGGATGGTTTAGAGAATGTGATGAGTAGAGTGGGATGAGGGTGGAAATTTAAGGTGGACGGGGAGGTAGAGGTTGAACTAGGCCTAAGGACGGACAGCCTGAACCAGCCTAACAGCGGCCGGTCGGAGCCAGGCACACTCGCTCCCTGGGACTTGACACTCTCCTCCCTCCACCCCTCAGCTTCTCTGCTGCTGAGGACCTACTGCGGCCAGCACTAACGGAGTGTCCTGGTTGGAAGAAAAGGAATACTAAGCAAATCCCCTTGGGAGAAGGAGAAGCTCCGAAGTATTGCTATCCTAAGAAGTAAAGCCAAAAAGAAGCAGCTGCCTAAGCATGCAAACACAGGAGCAGAAACGGAAGAGGGAAGCAGATGGACGGAAGGGAGAAAAGACAAAAGAACCTAAGTGCTACTATCTTGATGAACGACCAAAAAACACACAGACACGGGCGTTAAGAGGGGATGAAGGGAGGGTAGAACTAGGGAGGAAACTTGTAGGCAAAAGTAATCAAGACTACGCATTCAGCCATGGGGAAATCACCAACTGTCCTGTGAGCGACACTCCGGCCAGCTTGTTGTCCCGTGCCCAAGTGACCAGAAACCAATGTCTGCCTCTTGGTGTAGAGCCCCCTCCGGCCTTTCTGATCCAGTCAACTCTGACCGTCGTCCTTATCCAAGCCTTAACCTTGTTGATAATTGCGATGCCGCCAGTCCACTCCTGCTTGAATAGGATATTTTTCCTATCCTCCCAGATAATCCACAGCAGGATGGAACGAATGGACTGAGCCACATACCCCTTACCAATGTGCTTGAACCATGAGGGCGGAAGTTTCCCGTGAAGTGCCCATTTCTCCTCCCAAGTCAACAAATCCCCCACAAATCTTGCCCAATGGTTACCCCACCATATCCACAGTCTGCGGGAGGCTGGACAAGACCAAAACAGATGTTCCAACGTTTCTTCCTCGTGGACTCCGCATCTGAGACATTTAGTGCAGATGTCCATTCCCTTTTCAAACAACCAGATAGCACATGGTATAGCCGTATGTGACAGCAGCCATGATAAAGCTGCGAACTTTTGGGAAGGTAACACTTTCAACTGATCCCACAGCTGCCGCATCTCTCGAGGCCCCAGGGGGGGCTGAGTCTGTATAAGCCTGTTGAGCTTCCTTGCAGCCACGTCTGGTAACTCGGGATCCTTAGCTATGATTTGTCTGCCCAACTTTGAAGTGTATTGTGACAACAGGATGCGTCTGCCCCCTGGTAGCCGCCAACTGTGACCCATGGGGTCTATCCTCAGATCGCTAAGTGGCTTGCCGTCCATCAACAGACAGTGAACCGGAGCATGCAGAGGCTGGGACACGGAGAAGACTCTGATGAGTCGGAGAGGTTGCTGTGACACAATACTGACTTCAGTAGGTGATTGAAGTCTGGGAAGCTTCCCAGGCACCTCGTTCTTCTCCCATTGCTGTGCCAACCAAAGATCTTCTACGAGGTCTTGAACAATTTGAACAATGCATTTGTCATCCTCCCCTACATGCTTCGTGACGTACCATTCCCCTGGCACCGGGTCCATTGTTCTCAGCATGGCTGACCAGCTCGGAGAGATAGCTTGGATGAGTTGTCCTCTTCGTTGTGATACATGGGGAAGGTGAGGCAGTCTTGATCTCAGTTTCTCCTCCGTTATCCAGTCCTGGGTCTCCTCGTCTCAGATGTCTGCGATACGCACTACCCCTCGTTCAATCCATGATCTGCCAAACGCTCCCCGAGCTCTGGTTGCCAGGAACACCTGTCCGCTGGAGTCAAGAATATCTTGATTGTCGAATCAAATTTGTTGCTTGACTTCCTCCCTAGTTGAAGGGGGCTTAGCTTGCAGGGGCTGTAGTGCCCTCCATGCACTCAGCAACGGATTCCAAGGCAATCGGAGACTTTGCGAGGCAATATTTCGAGGATATCTTAACATAGCGCAGACCTCCGGACCAATCCCTCCAACACCTACAGGCGGAACAGGATCTGTGGCCACCTGTCTCGCACCAGAGGCGAGTGCTGCGCTGGAACAGCCAATTACTATGCAAGACATATGGGCCGCAGTTAACGCAATGGCGAAAGGGAAAAGTCCTGGGTTGGATGGGTTGCCGGTGGAATTCTACATTGCTACTTGGGAGCCTGTGGGTCCCGTCTTGTTGAACCTTTTCAAAAATGCATTAAGAAATCCGCGAAAGATGCAATTCATTCATTTTCTTTTGAGCCAACTCCGCGGGTGACCGCTGCACAGTTTCGAATTCGCAGGAATAACAGTCCACTCCAAGCTTGGGCGAAGATAAGTTCGAAACTCCAAGCTTGGGCGAAGACAAGTTCGAAACTCCAAGCTTGGGCGAAGACAAGTTTGAAACTCCAAGCTTGGGCAAAGACAAGTTCGAAATTGCATTATTTTTTAATTTTTTTTAAAATCTCGGCCGTGGCCGAGGCATCGCGGCCATGGCCCAGCCACGCAATGGGATGCTCTCTCTTTCTTTCTTTTTTTTTTCCCTTGTTTTACCTCGGATGTGGCTGAGGCATAGCCGGCAGTGGCCAGCCACGCTACAGTGCTTGAAAAAAAAAAAAAAAAAAAACGAGAGTGAATCTTCCGCTACAACATGGAAAGATGCACCGCGAAATTGCATTATTATTTTATTTTTTTTTAAATCTCGGCCGTGGCCGAGGCATCACGGCCGTGGCCCAGCCACGCGACAGGATGCTCTCTCTTTATTTTTTATTTTTTTTCCTTTTTCTTACCTCGGATGTGGCCGAGGCATCGCGGCAGTGGCCAGCCACGCGACAGTGCTTGAAAAAAAAAAAAAAAACGAGAGTGAATCTTCCACTAGAAACATGGAAAGATGCACAGCGAAATTGCATTATTATTATTATTTTTTTTAAATCTCGGCCGTGGACGGGGCATCGCGGCCGTGGCCCAGCCACGCGATGGGATGCTCTCTCTTTCTTTTTTTTTTTTTTTCCTTTTTTTTACCTCGGATGTGGCCGAGGCATCGCTGCTTGAAAAAAAAAAAAAAAAACGAGAGTGAATCTTCCACTAGAACATGGAAAGATGCACCGCCATGAGCCCCCAAGGATGACACCCATAGGTTGTTGCCAGCCCGTGTATCTCCTTGGGCCCCTGTATCCCCTTTGCACAAAAGACAAAAATCATGGCGCTGTATCTTTCCATGTTCTAGCGAAGATTCACAGGATAATTGATAGAAAGAGCCCACGCCAAAACCTTTTCGGTTTTGGCCGCCCAAAGTTCGGTCGTTTGGTACTACCGGCCCAAACAGCGCTCCCCTTGGTGAAAGGCGCCTTCGCGCCGTGGCCACATCTCCTTGGGCCTGTTTTCACCGGTTCAAGAATGTGGCGCTGTTTCTGCGCCAGATTCATGAACCGGTAGGGCCCTTCTTTTTCAAAATCACGTACGTGGGCCTCATTCGATACTTCAGTGTTACCACGCCGGTCTCTTTTACATGAAAATGAATCTGGCGCTGTTTATGGGCCAGATTCATGATCCGGTAGAGCCCTTGTAGTGACCCGTGGGCATGTAGTACCCCACATGCAAGTCATTGGGCCGGTAGTACCAAACGGCTAAACTTTGGGCAGTCAAAACCGAAAAGGTTTTGGCGTGGGCTCCTTCTACCGATTATCCCAAGATTCACTCCCTGTATCTCATTGGGCCCCTCTGCGTTTGTAGGCCGTGGAACGCATTTTTCCTTAGTTTCGAACTTGTCTTCGCCCAAGCTTGGAGTTTCAAACTTGTCTTCGCCCAAGCTTGGAGTGGACTGTTATTCCTGCGAATTCGAAACTGTGCAGCGGTCATCCACGGAGTTATTTCTTTTCTTTTTTTTTTCACAATTGGAGTGGCATACGTGACGTCCACTACCGATAATGGAAACTTGCTGCCATCCAACACGCCCGGTCCGCCTTCACAGCTAAAACTGTGAAATAGGACTCTCTGATCCCGCAAATGGACACAGATGCATCTGGCCACGTTTTGAGAAGGATGGACCTGTGCTTTTTCTCACTTGGACAGTGGTGTGCAGAGGCCCTGCATCGTCGAAACGTATGCGAACAGGCCCTTACTTACCTTTTTTTTTTTTCGGTTGGCCCTTACTTACAATTTTCCACACCTGTCCACATACACGTTCACATTCACGCACTCCCACAGCAGTGTGTGTGTGTGTGTGTGTGTGTGTGTGTGTGTCTTCGTCGGAACCTGGCAATTTTTTGACGGAAGATGCACTGGTTTCGTTTTTCGTTTCGTGTGCCGCGCAGCGACACACTGAAGCTGTTACGATGCTAAGAGAGAGAGAGAGAGAGAGAGAGAGAGAGAGAGAGAGAGAGAGAGATGTATAAAACATGCGACAGATTCACAGGAAGCCCCTACATGAATCTGCTCAATAACGTGGGCAGATACAGGGGCCCATGACGACAACGAATTCTGGCGGCCACCGTCCTTCGAAGAGTTGCCGAAGCGTATGCAGTCCCCGTCCTTCGAAGAGTTGCCGAAGCGTATGCAGTCCTTCAAAGGTCGCACCGAAAATAGCAAACTACACACGACTTCACAAATTTCTCAAAACGTAATAAAATAACACACAGAAAAAAAAATCTCAAGAAAGGACTCCAAGGGTCGTTGAACTAGCTGTCTCGAAAAAAGAAGACAGTTAGTTCAACGGAAAGTGGCGAGGGTAGGGGTAGTAGTATTCGAGAGAGAGGATTTATTTCTGTTTTTTGTTGTAAGAAAAAGCGGAGATAGTCTCTATTGCCCTTTTTATTAAAAACGGACCGTTAGATGAATTGGACGACGTGCATCTCCCTTGTCGCGTACAGTCACACAGGGTCGAAAACCCCACGTTGACCTAGCTCAACGGAGCTAGTGGGACAAGGTCGCGGCCGTGGCCCACGCGACGGGGCCAAGATTAAAAAAACAAAAAACAAAAACAGAAGGGCCTTGGTCCACTATCCTTGACATGCAAAAAAAAAAAAATCATGGCAGTGCATCTTTCCATGTTCTAGGATAAGATTCACTCTCGTTCTGCACATTTCGAGAGCGTGCAAAACGAGAGTGAATCTAGGCTAGAACATGTAAAGATGCACCGCCACAAGGCCCCAAGGATGACATGCATAGGACGGGAAATCTGAGAATGAAAAACAAAAGAGAAAAAAAAAAGAAGATAAACTGGGTTGTTGTCAGCACGTGTATCCCCCAGGGCCTTTACGCTGTTGTCAGCCCATGTATGTCGTTGGGCCCCTGTATCCCCGTTGCACAAAAGACAAAAATCATGGCGCTGTATCTTTCCATGTTCTAGCGCAGATTCACTCTCGTTTTAGATCAATCGTGGAAACCGAGAGTGAATCTTGCGCTAGAACATGGGAAGATACACTGCCACGATCTTTTCTTTTTTGCTTGAAGTTCTTGTTCTGTTTTTTTTTTTGAAAAAAGATCTGGCCCTCCGACGTGGATGACTAGACTGCCGTTAGAAACTTTGCCCTGCGACAGCCAGGCGACCGAGGAGTTTCGACTACAGTGTAAACTTCGGAGGGGACTCAACTCCAAAACGGAAGTTTGAAACTTATTTTCAAACTCTTACCCTGACCGCGCCCTAGTTTTCTCTTTTTTTTTTCATGTTCGAAATGCGCTTCTGAAATCCGTTAATTTGCTACATGCCCCTCAAACGGCCAACTACCCTGTCGTGCCCCTCTTCAATGATCCGGCGTCGTTTGAGCCTGAAATATGATCAAAACGAATTTCTAGTACGTCCCTACCGGATTTCCATTCTGTCCAAGGCCGTAAAAATCCATATGCCCCTATGCTACTTTGCATCTTTCCAGAGTTGGATGTTTCCAGAGTTGGACGCAGTCGCGGCTGTTCCCTTGGCCCTGGGAAGACAGTTACCAGGGCATATCGGAAATTGTCATGCAGCCAAAACTTTCTGCCATGCCCTCAATTCGATGGAAATCCCTCTCTCTCTCTCTCTCTCTCTCTCTCTCTCTCTGTGTATGTGTGTGTATGTGTGTGTGTGTGTGTGTGTGTG